AGTATTAAAAATAGAGCAGACCATATAGAAGAGAGAATTAGTGAGCTCGAAGATAGAAATATAGAAATGATTCAGGCAGAAGAGGAGAGAGAACTGAGATTTAAAAAAATGAAGAAATTCTACAAGAAATATCCAACTTAATTAGGAAAAGGAACATAAGGATAATAAGTATTCCAGAAGGAGAAGAAAGGGAGAAAGCAGCAGAGAACTTATTCAAAGAAATAATAGCTGAGAACTTCCAAAGCCTGGGTAAGGAACTGGCTATACAAGTACATGAAAACCAATAGAAATGCTAATTATCTCAAGGCAAAAAAGACCTTCTCTAAGGCATATATTAAAACTGTCAAAAGTCAATGACAGAGAAAGAATATTAAGGGCAGCTAGAGAGAAGAAAATAACTTACGAAGGACCCTGTGTTAGGCTTTCAGTGAATTTCTCAGCAGCAACTCTACAGGCTAGGAGAGAGTGGAATGATATATCCAAAATGTTGACAGATAAAAACTATCAGCCAAGAATAATCTATCTAGCAAAGTTATCTTCCAGATATGAAGGGGAAATAAAAGCTTTCCCCAACAAACAAAAGCTCAGTGAGTTCACTGCCCCTAGACCTTCCTTACAAGAAATGTTGAAAGAAGCCATCCTATTTGAAACAAAAAGGTAAAGGTTTACAGACTTTGAGCAAAGTGATAAATAGACAGACAGAATCAGAAAATTGCAACTTTATATCAGAATAGCTTAGTAAAAGTTATTTATAACATAAAGCCTAAAGAGAAAGAAAGCATCAAAAATAACTATTAATGTTTCAATTTCATCACAAACTTATAACACAAGAAAGAATAATCTGTGACAATGAAAACATAAAAGGGGAAGAGGAAAAAGACAGAACCTGCATAAGCTAATGGGGATAGGATGCTGTCAGCAGAAAAAGGACTATCTCATCTTTGAGATCCTCACAGTAACCACAAAATGAAAAATCAGAGTAGAGTCACAAATCATAAAGAGAAAACTGAGAAAATCATCAGAGAAAACCACCAAACTGAAATGGCAGACGGAAAGAGAAGGAAAAAGAAAGAATGGAAATATAGAACAACCAGAAAACAAAAGATAAAATGGCAGCATTACCCCCTCATATATTAATAATATCTCTAAATGTAAATGGATTGAATTCACCAATCAGAAGACATGGAGTGGCTGGATGGATTAAAAATCAAGATCCAACAATATGTTGCCTCCAGGAAACACATCTCAGCTCTAACGACAAACATAGGCTCAGAGTGAAGGGATGAAAGATGATACTCCAAGAAAATGGCAAGCAAAAGAAAGCAGGTGTTGCCATACCTATATCAGACAAAACAGACTTCAAGACAAAAAAAAAAAACAAAGACAAAAACAAGAGACAAAGATGGACATTATATAACGATAAAAGGGACATTCTACCAAGAAGACATAACAGTTATTAATGTATATGCACCTAACACAGGAACACAAAATTATATAAAGGAACTATTAACAGACCTAAAGGGAGAAATTGACAGCAACACAATAATAATAGGGGACCTCAACACCCCACTTACATCAATGGATAGATCATCCAGTTGGAAAGTGAACAAGGAAACAGTGTCCTTAAATGAAACACTAGACCAGGTGGACTTAATAGATATATAGAGAACATTGTATTCCAAAGTAGCAGAATACACATTCTTCTCAAGTGCACATGGAACATTCTCAAAGATAAATCATATGTTGGAAACAAGGCACACCTCAATAAATTTAAGAAGATTGAAATCACATCAATCATCTTTTCTGACCACAATGATATGAATCTAGAAATCTACTACAAGAAGAAAGCTGGGAAAGTCACAAATATGTGGAGACTAAACAATATGCCTCTGAACAACCATTGGATCATTGAAGAAATCAAAAGAGAAATAAAAAAATACCTGGAGACAAATGAAAATGAAAATACAACATACCAAAACCTATGGGATGCAGTAAAAGCAGTACTAAGAGGGAAATTTATGGCAATACAGGCCTCCCTCAAAAGACAAGAAAAATGTCAATTAAATGAGCTTACACTATACCTAAAAGATCTAGAAAAAGAACAAACAAAGTGCAAAGTCAGTAGAAGGAAGGAAATAATAAAAATGAGAGCAGAAATAAATGAAATAGAAACTAAGAAAAATAATAGAAAAGGTCAGTGAAACTAAGAGCTGGTTCTTTGAGAAGATAAACAAAATTGACAATCCCTTAGCTAGACTCACTAAGAAAAAAAAGAGAGAAGTCTAAAATAAATGAAATCAGGAATGGAAGAGGACAAATTACAATGTATGCCACAAAAATATGAAGGATTATAGAAGAATAGTATGAAAACCTATACACTAACAAATTGGATAACCTAGAAGAAATAAATTCTTAGAGAGATACAACCTCCCCAAACTGAGTCAAGAAGAAATAGAGAATCTGAATAGACCAATCACAAGTAAAGAGATTGAAAGAGCAATCAGAAACCTCTCAAAAGCCAAAAGTCCAGGACCAGATGGCTTCTCTGGTGAGTTCTACCAAACATTCAAATATTTAATACCTATCCTTCTCAAACTCTTCCAAAAAATTGAAGAGGAAGAGATTCTTCATAACTCATTTTATGAGGCCAACATTACCCTGATGCCAAAACAAGACAAGAACAAGACAAAAAAGGACAATCACAGGCCAACATTGCTGATGAACATAGATGCAAAAATTCTCAACAAAATATTAGAAAATTGAATACAATGATATGTAAAAAGAATCATACACCACGATCAAGTGGGATTTGTTCCAGGGAGGCAGGGATGGTTCAACACTCGCAAACCAATCAATGTGATACACCACATAATAAAATGAGGAATAAAAATCACATGATCATCTCAATAGATGCAGAGATAGCATTTGACAAGATCAAACACCCATTTATGATAAAAACTCTCAGTAAAATGGGTATAGAAGGAAAGTACCTCAATATAATAAAGGCCATATATGACAAACTCACAGCCAACATCATTCTTAATGGTGAAAAACTGAAAACCATCCCTTTGAGAACAGGAACAAGATCTTGCCACTCCTATTCAACATAGTACTGGAGATTTTGGCCAGAGCAATTAGGTGAGAAAAAGAAATAAAAGGTATCCAAATTGGAAAGGAAGAAGGGAATTCCTGCTGTTTGTGAATGACATGATTCTATATATACAAACCCTAAAGGATCCACCAGAAGAATATTAGAAATAATTAACAACTACAGCAAAGTTGTAGGCTACACAATCAATGTACAAAACTCAGTTGCATTTTCATATGCTAATAATGAGCTAGCAAAGAAGTCAAGAATACAATCCTATTTACAATAACAAAAAGAATAAAATACCTCAGAATAAATTAAACAGAGAGGTGAAAGACCTATACAATGAAAACTATAAAGAGATTATTGAAAGAAATTGAAGAAGACAAGGAAATGGAAAGATATTCCATGCTCACGGATTGGAAGAATAAATATAGTTAAAATACCCATATTAGCTATAGCAATCTACAGATTCAATGCAATCCCAATCAGAATCCCAATGACATTCTCCACAGAATTGAACAGAGAATCCTAAAATTTATATGGAACAACAAAAGACCCCAAATAACCAAAGCAATCCTGAGAAATGGAACAAGGCTGGGGGCATCACAATCCATGACTTCAAAATATACTACAAAACTGTAGTAATGAAAACAGCATGGTAATGGCACAAAAACCAACACACAAATCAATGGAACAGAATTGAAATCCAAGAAATAAAACCATACATCTACGGACAGCTAATTTTCTACAAAAGAGCCAAGAACGTACAATGGAGAGAGGAAAGACTCTTCAACAAATGGTTTTGGGAAAACTGGACAGCCATATGCAAAGGAATGAAAGTAGACAATTATCTTACACCATACACAAAAATTAACTGAAAACGGATTAAAGACGTGAACGTAAGATCTGAAACCACAAAACTCTTCGAAGCAAATATAGGCAGCACACTTTTTGACATCAGTCTTAGCAGTATCTTTTCAAATACCATGCCTATTCAGGCAAGGGAGACAAAAAGAAAAAAATAAACAAATGGGACTACCTCAGGCTAAAACCTTCTGGAAGGCAAAGGAAACCATCAACAAAACAAAAAGAAAACCCACCAACTGGGAGAAAATATTTGCAAATCGTATATCTGACAAGGGGTTAATTTCTAAAATATATAATGACCTCATACAACTCAACAACAAAAAAGCAAACAACCCAATAATAAAATGGGCAGAGGATATGAACAGACATTTTTCTAAGGAAGATATACAGATAGCCAACAAGCACATGAAAAAATGTTCAGCATCACTAATTATTAGGGAAATGCAAATCAAAACTACAATGAGATATCACCTTACACCTGTCAGAATGGCTATAATTACCAAGACAAAAAATAACAAATGTTGGAGAGGTTGTGGAGAAAAGGGAACCCTCATACACTGCTGGTGGGAATGCAAACTGGTTCAACCACTATGGAAAACTGTATGGAGATTTCTCAAAAAACTAAAATAGAAATATCATGCAATCCAGCTATCCCACTACTGGGTATTTATCCAAAGAACTTGAAATCAACAATTCACAGAGATTTATGCACCCCTATGTTCATTGCAGCACTATACACAATAGCTAAGACATAAAAGCAATCCAGGTGCTCATCAGCTCATGAATGGATAAAGAAATGTGGTATATTTATACAATGGAATACTGCTCAGCCATTAAAAAAAGACAAAATTGTCCCATTTGCAACAACGTGCATGGACCTTGAGGGTATGATGTTAATGAAATAAGACAGACAGAGCAAGACAGACGCTGTATGATTTCACTCACATGTGGAAGATACGCAAGCAAACACATGGATAAGGAGAGCAGATTAGTAGTTACCAGAGGGTAAGGGAGTTGGGGGAGGGTGAAAAGGGTAAAGGGACACATATATGAATGATAACGGATGGAAACTAGACTGTTTGGGGTGACCAAGACACAGTCTTTACAGAAACTGAAATATAATAATGTATACCTGAAATTTACATAATGTTATAAACCAATGTGAACTCAAAAAAATAATTAAAAAACATCTTTGATAAAAATAGGTTAAAGTTGTTATTCTTTGACAGTATTTCCTCTGATGCTACTATTATATCCTAAAACAGAAACGTTCTAATTTCTCTTGTATCCTCAACTCCAAAGAAAATCTATGGTTTTATAAATTAGTGATAATAATGAGTGTCCTCTTTAAGAAGTATTTGCTGTTTCTGACAAATGACAAATAGCTAATACTGTTCTCACTTACAAAGGAATATTTTTCTTTTAACACAGATCTACTTTTGTTCAATAGAACTGAAGGTAAAGCCCAGAAACAACCTCACATCGTTCTAGGTCAGGTAGCGCTGCCAAATGCGTTATGAAAATTTTTAGTTTCCCAAGCTTTTTAGATTCAGAATTGTGGATAAGAGATTTTCAACCTATATTTATCCTTTCTAGAAGTCTTGTTTGTTTCTTTTAAAAAATGTTTATGTAGCAGCAGATAACTAATACAACCAGGAATAAATAGGATGTCAGATTCCTCAAATTCCTGATTTCCTAATACATTGTGTTAAAAAATTTTTTATAGTACGCCAGGGAATTTCCAGGATTTTAACCTGATTAACCGAGGCAATCATTGAATCCACGTTTCAGTCACTAACCTAGAAGACGTTTAATGCCTCTCTCAGGTACTAGAGCATGGGTATGTATACTATTGTCTATCATTTTGGCCCAGGAGAATCTTTGTTTTAGTCATCTTTTCAAATAGGGAAAAGCACATGCTATAATACTAAGATATTCTTTCCCCAATATATATTTTTTAATTATCACCATCTCCCTCCTAATGAAATTTTAATACCACAGTTATATCTTATACCTGTTTACGTCCACTGGCTCTTTGGAAGGCCACCAATCATTGTGCTATCTAAGATTTTTGCCTCTCCCCAAGAGTCAGTTTTTGCTCCCTTAGGGGAGATATATCTGATGTGAATGCATACATTGGTGGAAATAAAGCAGGGTCCTTAACATGACCCAAACTTTAATATGGATGGGAATAAATTAAAAGGAAATTAATTAAAAAGTTAGCAGTCATTATTTCTGGGTTATGAGATAATAAGCAACTTGTAATTTTATTCTTTCTGTTTTTATAGTTTCCAAATACATACTTATATGTATGTATTTATATGTACTCCAAGGGATGCTGTGAAGATTCTATAATATTATGCATGTGAAAGAAAAACTATACTATCCTTCCTTTCTCTTTTGTCACATGTGTTTCCTTTGTCCTAAATGCTAACAAAAGCCTGAAGATGTTGCTCCAGTATTCATTACCAAATGAACTCTTGACATATTCTACAGAATTAAAAACATTTCACATAGACTTATTTAAAAGCTATTCATTTATTTAATCATTGTACATTCATCAAATATATAATTCATGTCAGAAACCAATTTAGACACAGCAAAATCACTTATGAATAAGAGGTTCTATGTTGTTGAACAGCTCACCAATGCCTTCTCCTCAAACGTACATAGAAACAAATAAATAAAATGAGATAATGCCATAATAGGGATATGGTCAGATTGTGGAGGGAATTCAAAGGATGGTTGATGAGATTCGTAAGGACTTTTCAGATGAGGTAAGATTTCAGTGAGTGTAGAAGATTGAGTAAGAGGTATTCACATGATAAATCAAGTGTCTGTCAGGATTTAGGATCAGCACTTCTCAGAAAGAAAAGTTGATACTCATTTCCAGTGGCTGCAATTTCACCATTCTATACTTTTCTCTTTCTTCCACAATCCTTACAATATGATAAAATTGATATTGTCTTTATGCTTTCCCTATCTTTTGATATCATCATCCTCTCTCAGATTTTTTTATCAAGGATTACACAATTGACAATATTAAAGTTACCTGCAAAAAGGAATAAAAACTTATTATAAAAACATTTAAAAAGGAATAAAACCAAAAAGGAATCAAGCCCCTTTCCAAAAAATTACCATCTACTACCACCATAACTCATTAGCAGAAAGAAAATTATAAAACCAAAGTGTAAGAAGATAATATTAAATAAAAAATAACCTTTTATATTGACTTCACTTAATCTCAGGTGAAACTTATTTTTCTCACTTCTCCACATTGGTGGAGCAAAAGGTCTCTCATGGACTGGACCTAACCTGGAGTCTGACATTTGAGGCATTTGGAAACTACTTATCTAAAAGCCTTGAGATGTCCATATCAACCTTCTTTTACATATCTATCAGGAAGGAAATTAATTAAAATCTATAAAACTAGTTAATTTTCTGTTTAGAAACACTCAGTGTCTCCCTATTCTCTGTAACAGTGGTTCTCAAACTTTAGCCTGATCGCCTCTAGTGCTTGTTAAAAAACATAGATTTCTGGGTCCATCCTCAGACTGTTGATTCAGTAGGTCTGAATTTGCATTTCTAATGAGTTGCCAGGTGATACTGATGCTGCTGGTCCAGGTAACAAAATACCATACAGGAAAAAGCCCAAACTCCTTATCAGACCACATAAGGATAAAAACTAAGCTACTATGACACAGAGACCCAAAAATATAGAGGCTTAATTAACATGAAATAATACAGAAGATGTTTTTCCTCCTGCAATGGTCTGGAGGCGTTGCTTTGCTTGTGGGGTGGTTCTGTTTCCATTTTACTGTTCCCTTCACTAATAGCCCTCCATATTCACATTCCAGCCTAAAGGAAGGGGAGGGAGGGGGGGAGGGAGGTCAGAACAAGTGGCTTCATGTTTGAGAAGATGATCCAGAAGTTGCACACATTATTTCCCTGGCATTGTGTTGGTGGAGGCCAGGCTAGGAAATGTGATTTGCAGCATGGTGGTCCTATGCCCAGTTAGAACTTGAGGCAGAAGGTGGAATGGGTATTGGTAAGAAGTTAGTCTCCACCACAAAGGCTCCTCTGGCAGTATCAGGTGAATAAAAGGCAGTGTTGTTTCTCATAAATGTTGTAAGTCTGGGAAGAAAAAAATCCAGTGTCCAGTATAATCCTAGATTAGAATAAATGCCCCTGTGAAATCTTTCCTTAATACTTTGTACAGAGCTCTATTATTGTACTTACCACATTTCATAATTATGTATTTATTTATCTGCAGTCCCTGATTAGTCTTGAGGCTTTTTAAGCACATGGATTGCATTTTACTTTTGTATCTGTATCTCTTGTTTATCTATCTCCTTATCATTTCTCTGTACTTCCTACTTACTTACAAAGTCAGTGCCTACTACAATTCTTGGTATGTGGTAAGCAGCCAAAAAATGTTCTTTGAATAAATGAGTTGATTCATCATCTGTTGGAAAAGGTCAATATTATTTTTTTAGCTCTCTGCACTCTGATTTTTTCCACCTAACTCATGACATTGCTGACCATTTTTCTACCCAGAATATTCTCTTTATTGCGCTCTTGACATCTTTGTTTCTTAAAGTGTAGATCAGAGGGTTAAGGCTGGGTGTCACGATTGTGTAAAAAAGAGTAAGGAACTTCCCTTCATCTTGGGATGTGTGATTCTGTGGCTTCATGTACATATAAATGATTGTTCCATAAAACAGAGTTACCACTGTGAGGTGCGAACCACATGTGTTGAGGACCTTATGCCACCTTGCTGCTGACTTGATCCTCACGACAGCATGAGTGATAACTCCATATGAGATGAGAATTAGTGATAGAGGTACCAAAAGAAATACCACTCCAAGAGCAAAGACAAGAATCTCAATTACTTTTGAATAGACACAAGCCATCTTGATCAATGCTGGCATCTCACAGAAAAAATGATCCACCTTCCGGTGCCCACATCTTGGCAACTTCAAAGTCAGGGAGAAAAGAATTAATGTACTGCCTAAACCACTTGACCAGGCAGTCAGCACCATCTTCTGGCAAAGCTGAGGGTGCATTACTACTGTGTAGTGAAGAGGTTGACAGACAGCAGCATAGCGGTCATAGGCCATCACAGCCAAGAGAAGACATTCTGTAGTTCCCAAGTCCAGGGCAAAGAAGAATTGGAGCACACATCCTCCATATGTAATAGACTTTTTTGGACCCCATAGATTGACCAGCATTTGGGGGATAATGCTAGTTGTATAACAGATGTCCAGAAAAGACAAATTGGATAAGAAGAAATACATGGGAGTATGGAGCTGGGTATCCAGGTAAGATACAAGAATGATGGTTGTGTTTCCTACCAGAGTGGCAGTATAGAAGATGAAGACAAGCACAGAGATGATGCGTTCTAATTGAGGCCTGTCAGAAAACCCCAGAAGAATGAAGTCTGTTTCAGAACTTCCATTGCTTGTTTCCATTTCTCTTTATGAAAGGCTAGCAGACAACACCATGGTAACAAAAAATATCATCATCCTTAGGTAGAACTGAAAATCTCTGGAGTCTGTCAGGGTATCTAAAACTTACTTACATGCTTTCTCCCACTTGGAACATCTCTTTTAACATTTCCCCTGTGTTCAGTGCCCAAAGTCTCTTCGTATTTAATCATATCCAGAGTGGTTCTGAAAATAACATGTTAAACCCAATTACACTGAATTGTAAATCATTGAAAAGCCTTAATGTCCTATGGCCCCCTGGTTCTATGTATTTTGATTACATAATAAATCCACAAAGTTAATTAAGTAATTTTGAGTGGGTTATGTTTTGAGGGCTTATTCCTCCTTGAAACTATGACATAAGCATCGCTTGATCATGACAAATCTTTCCCTTATCAAAGGAATTAAGCTTGAGGTAAAATGTTAAATGACATATTTTCTTTGGATAAGCTCCACCATTTGGTAGTAGAATAATTTTCTAGATTCACTTCCAAACGTCTGCCTCCAACCATTATAATCATAATCATAATCATAATCTCTATCACCACCAACCTACTCTCCTATTTTTTTTCTCTTCAACATTGCATTCACTGTTTTCCCGTATCAATTTTGATGTTCCCTACTGCACTGTCCATTTTTGTGCATGTGTTTTTTTGTGCCAGGAAAAAAATAATATTTCTTATTATTAACCTTTATTTACATGTACAGAGGCCATGTTTCTTTGAATACCTTTCATGACTGCTATTACACTATCTAAATAGACTTGTTGAATTGTTGCAGAGTCAAAAATTGAACTAATTCTAGAACCATTTGGTCACCACATACATATACCAACAATCTGTTAGTTCCTACTCACCTGGCCAGTCAGCAAAATTGGCAAGGCAGGTGAGTCATACAAAAAGCAGTTCATTAAACAGTCAGTGAGTTGTTTTCCCCCAGGGAATTTGCCAATTGCATGAGTGGATCCTCTGGTTGCTTTGGAACTGTATAGTTAAAACTATTACCTCATTTCGACTGTAAAAGAATACAGATAAGGGTTAAGATTATGTCAGTCTCACTATTTCTGAATGCTTTGTCATATCCTTAAATAGATGGAATGTTGAATGACTGAAGTAGTTTATAAATTTTATATGCATATTATTTCTGACCATGAACTTCAGACCTAGGGTACTTACATTATTGGGGCCAGGAAATAATAACCTTATTTGCTACATTTATAGTGTCTTTGGGGTAAAGGAGTAATAACCTTATTTGTTGCAGTTAGAGTAAAATAGGGTAAAGATAAATTACTTACAGTATATCATTGTTAGAAGTATTTTAGTTACAACATTTAATGTCATACTCATGAAGAAGGAACTGTTTTTACCAAGCAGTGTGAGATAGAGATGTAGTTTTTCTTAACACAAAATGGAAATTTTATTTGATTAATGTGTCCGGTTTTAATCACATTTTATTTAATTACTGAGTCCAGTAATAGGATGTCAGCTAAGTTAACCATAGCACTTAAGTGAACAGATTCTGGACTCAGAGTGCTCGGGATCAAATCCCAGCTTCACTACTTGGAAGCAATATATCCTTGGCTGATTATTTACCCTGTTTGTGTGCCAGGTTAGAAGTAAGTTAAGTGAAGATAACACTTCCTTCCTTAAGGAGAGGTTGTGAGGGTTAATATTTGTGAAAGCATTTGGAACTGTGCTTGGTTCATATTTAATTCTGAGAATTAAAAACTACATTCACTTACCCAGAAATCATTATTATTCTATTTACCCCTTATTCCCTTTTTTTTTCCACACTGGTGATTTTACCATGATGGTAGAACTAAACTGAAATAATTAAAGATCTTCTTTTGCCTAAGTTTTAAAATGTACAAGCATGTTACGTATACAAAAATACCCAGAAACACAATGTAGATATGGAACTGATGAACCTGAGACAAGAGAGGACTTGAGCTAACAAAATGCCTTGATTGCAAAGTGCACTCAGCTATTTTGGCCAGTTGAGGTTGGGATAATGTTGAAAATTAAAAGGCCATAGAATTTTCGAGTTGGAATGGGCCTCAGGAACCATGTATCCAGTCTTCTGCCTACGTAAGAGATCCTTCCACAGAATATTCACACAACTTCCATCTTCGTAACTTCAGTAATAGGGAAGTCAGCTGCACACGAAGCAGCCTCTTTCTTTTAATCAATGCTCTTACTTACCTCTTATGTTGACCTCAAAGATACCTCTTTGTAACATCCAGGCACTGGCTCTTTTTCTTTTTTCTGGAAAGAACACAGCATAAGTCAATTCAACATGACTTCATTAAAAAAATATTATAAAATAAAACATGGATACAGAAAAAAGGTAAAAACTTCATCAGTTAAGGTGGATATTCTTGTAACTAACACCCAGGTCAAGAAACAGAGCATTGCCGAGACCCCAGGAGCTTCTCTTTTGTGCCTCATCCCAATAGTAACCCTCCCATGTCTCCCAAAGTATCCACTATCCTGATGTTATAGTAATCACCTCCGTGTATTTTAACAGCTTAATTATCCAAATGTGCATCTCTAGACAATATTGTTTGGTTTGGCTCATTAAAAACCTTTTATATGTCTTTTAAGTCTCTTTTAATATTAGAGACTATTATCAAATATACTCTTTGATTAATCTTCCTAAACTAAGTTCATGGATCCTTGTCTGCTGTTCCTAACACTGTATGATCTTTTACCATGCTTTTCTGGTTACTATCCATTGGATACACTGTAGTTTATTAAATGGCTCGGTTCCAAAGTGAACACAGGCCTCCAGGTGTGCTGCAATACTGGACAGAATAGTGAACATCTATGATCTACACACACTTCCTAAAATATATGTTGGCTAGGTTTAGAAGGAGTAAAATATTACTGGCTCAGTGTAAACTTTGGATCACATAAGGTCCTGGGTAGCCTTATTCGAAGTGCTGTCAAGCCAGAATTACACTTTGTGTAATTTTATGTTGTAAACCTAAATATAGAACTTTTCATTTTATGCATCTTAACACTTTCTATATGGTTTAAGGCTTGCATCTCAAATTTTAGATATTATTTTAATTTCAATCAAAAGTGAATGTGATATAAAAATGAGACTTAGAGCATGAACTGAAGAAATAGATGTTAAAAAAGAGGCATGCTCCATTTTAATGGAAACTCAATTGTTCATTTTTCATGGTATGGACTTCAGTTTCTAGTAATGTCGCATAATTTTACATTTTATTTGCTTTAGCAAATTTAAGAAAAATGAATGAACCATATTTAAATTTGAATTTATGCAATGACATGGAGTGAAAACTAGAAACATAAAAACTCATAATTCTTTAAAATTTTGTAAAAAATGAAAAGATTAAATGAATCTTTTATTAATTGAAAAGTAAGAGGCTATATTGCTGTATCCATATAAAGTTAAAGCAGAAAAAGACAATATAAAACTAGTTAAGACCCAGGCTCTAAGGTCAGACCACCCGTGATTTTATTAGATCAGACTTTGGTCACTTCCTCACTGTGTGAACTTGAGCAAGCTAATTAACTTCTTTAAGCTTCGGTTAACTTATCTGTAAGATAGTTGTTCTAGTAGCACCTTCCTCGCAGGATGGTTGTGAGGAGGATTAAATGATATATTAAGTATAAGATATTTAGTATAATGAGCATTCAGTAACTTCAAAATCCACTAACTGCTCTTGTTGAAATTTGGTATAATCTTCATTCCTGAGAGGGCATTGGTGTATTCATATCTATATCTCCCATACCTTTCACATTTTTGCTTTCATGTTAGACTGAGGGCTATGCTATCTCAGATGTATGCGTTCTAGGATCTGTTTTCTACTCTCTGTCTTCTTCTGTTGTAGATAGCAGAGAATACTTACCAGAAGACAAAAATATTAGAGCATACTTATATTTTCAGGAGACAGGAATTCACAGCTGTCGGGCTCTCCTGTAGTCCAAATGTTCCCATGTTCCCATTATGATGATCCTAAATTTCATTGATAATTCAGAAAAAATCTTGTTTGGCAAGTTGCTGTGTCCATGACATATTGGATTAGCCACCAGTTTCTTATACTAACACTATAATCACATTTGCATTTAAATCACATTTGCAAGATTTAATAGAAGTCTCTATCTGATGAGGATGTTAGAGAAAAACTGGATGTGGGACTGGTGGAAGAGTTAATGAATTAGGTTTTGTTAGATGTATTCTGATAGGATATTTGTAGTCTTTGAGTATGTCCTCTTGTTAGACACATTTGTAGGTAGATTGTTTTCGTCTAAGCAACCATACCCATGTTGGTCTATGTACGCCAAGAATCGTTACCGTGTAGTAGGGAAGTATTTATGTTCGACTCTAAAGGCTACTAGGTTGATGTGGTTTAGACCTTGGGGAGTGGTGCCCCACAGGGGTGATTAACAAATCTTTGACTATGGTCAGAGGGTTATGCAAAGAATTTTATGAAAATTTCCCTGAAGACATTAGGTTGCATCTTTTCCTTTTCTTTTAAATTTCCCTCATTGACTTAATTTCAGAGATGACTTTATGTATTATATTAAATTTACTACTGAAGATTCAAAATATAATGTAAAATCATATTTATAAAAATTAACACATTTAATTGAAATTTGTTTTATTCAGTGGGTAAGATATCAATCAAGTTGGAGAAATATAGGCAATTATCTAGGTGTTGTGTCCACAGGAAAGAAATTAGTTGGTTTAAAAAAATTATGGAATAATCATAATTCTAGCTTCTTGAACCCTATCATCAGTGTCCATTTTCAATAAATTAAAAATAATACCTTGGGCCGGCCCGGTGGTGCAGCCGTTAAGTTCGCAAATTCTGCTTCTCAGCGGCCTGACGTTCGCCCGTTCGGATCTCGGGGTGCAGACACGGCACGGCTTGGCAAGCCATTGCTGTGGTAGGTGTCCCACGTATAAAGTAGAGGAAAATGGGCATGGATGTTAGCTCAGGGCCAGTCTTCCTCAGCAAAAAAGGAGGATTGGCAGTAGTTAGCTCAGGGCTAATCCTCTTCCTCCTCAAAAAAAAACAAAAAACAAAAAACAATAATAATACCAAGAATACCTCTCAGCCTACCACTCAATTTCAGAACTGGAAATTTACTAATAACTTAGAGCTACCTAGTTGCCTTTACACTCTCCCTTCTTCCTGTGTGAACCCCAGGGAAATCATGATCTTGAATTTTGTGTTCATCACACATTTGCATTCGGATATAATTTATATATTAACACACTCACATATGTAGAAGTGCCTAAATAGCATGTATTTTAAAGTTTAGTTGTTTCTGAACTTCCACAAAAGGTATCATATTTTACATGTGCTTTTGGGACTTTTCTTTTTTCACTGTACTTTTTGTTGCTAAGATTATCCCATATATTTTGTGCAGCTGTGGTCCATTTATTTCCACTGCTGTATAATATTCCATGTGTGAGTATGTTACACTTATTTTGTCTATTCTCTTGTTGACAGACACTTTTGCTGATTACAGTTTTGGCTCATCTGAATGGTGTTATGAAGAACAATTTTGTATGGGTACCTTGGGGCACATATGCAGGAGTATCTTTTGAGTGTATAGCTAGGAGAGGAATTGCAGGGTTATGGAGTAAGTAAATATTAAACTTTTAAATTACAAGCCATTTTCCCCCAAAGTGGTTCTATCAACTTATCTCACCCCAGTTATATATAAATTGTCCAATCGATCTACGTTTTTCTCTAACACTTGGTCTTACAGACTTTTAAATTATTGACAACTGGAAGATTATAATGCTATATAGCTTTGTATTTGATTTTCATTTCCCTAATAACTAGTGAGGTTGAATATGTCCTCATATAGTTTCTACTATGTATAATTTTCTATCAAAAACTTGTTATTCTATTACATTGTTTCTTTTTCCTTTCTTATTGATTTATGGTGTGTGGGGGGTCTTTATACTTGCTTTTAATTCTGTTTTGCTTGTGTGCCCTGCAAATATTTTCTCTCAGTTTGTTGCTTGGCATTTTACTTTTAAAAATGCATATTTTGGGGGCTGGCCCCGTGGCCGAGTGGTTAAGTTCACGTGCTCCGCTGCAGGTGGCCCAGTGTTTCGTTGGTTCGAATCCTGGGCGCGGACATGGCACTGCTCCTCAAACCACGCTGAGGCAGCGTCCCACATGCCACAACTAGAAGAACCCACAACGAAGAATACACAACTATCTACCGGGGGGCTTTGGGGAGAAAAAAAAGGGAAAAAATAAAATCTTAAAAAAAAAAATGCATCTTTTGCTGATCAGAAGTTCTAAATTTAAACATGGAAGAATCTTTTCATTAGTCTTCTTTAAGAAATCCTTCTGTATTCCAAGGTCAGAAAGATTTTAACCTATATTTTTTCCTAAAACTTTTAAAGTTGTACACTAAATATACCTGGAATTAATTTATTTGTACGGTGGAGGATGGGTATCCAAATTTATTTTTCCATGTGGATACCATTTCCAGATTAATTGATTGGAATATTTTTTTCTTTCCCTAGTGATGCCATAATGTCTCTTGAATATATCAAATTTCTATGTATGAGTGTGTGCATGTGAGTGTGCTGATATATTTCTGGACCTTGTATTCTGCTCCACTGCTCAATTTGTCTTTCCCTGCACCAATACCATCCTGTGTCAATTATTATATATTTGTTATAAATCTTGATATGTGGTAGGGCAGGAGATTATTCCTTAATATTCTTCAGAAGTGTCTTGCCACTCTTTTTTTGATTGAGGTATAATTGACATATTATATTAGTTTCAGATGTACAACATAATGATTTGATATTTGTGTATATTGTGAGCTTATCACCACAAGAAGTCTAGTTAGCATTTGACAGCATGCATAGTTATAAAAATTTTTTTCCTTGTGATGGTGACTTTTTTATTTATTTATTTATTTATTTATTTATTTATTTTTATTAATGTTATGATAGATTACAAGCTTGTGAGATTTCAGTTGTACATTTTTGTTAGTCATGTTGTGGGTACACCACTTCCCCCTCCGTACCCTCCCCCCACCCCCCCTTTTCCCTGGTAACCACCGATCAGATCTCCTTCTCAATATACTAATTTCCACCTATGAGTGGAGTCATATAGAGATCGTCTTTCTCTGACTGACTTATTTCGCTTAACATAATGCCCTCGAGGTCCATCCACGTTGTTGTGAATGGGCCAATTTCGTCTTTTTTTATGGCTGAGTAGTATTCCATTGTGTATATATACCACATCTTCTTTATCCAATCATCAGTTTCTGGGCATGTAGGCTGGTTCCACGTCTTGGCTATTGTAAATAATGCTGCGATGAACATAGGGGTGCAACGGACTCTTGAGATATCTGTTATCAGGTTCTTAGGATAGATACCCAGTAATGGGATGGCTGGGTCATAGGGTATTTCTATTTTTAACTTTTTGAGAAATCTCCATACTGTTTTCCATAGTGGCTGTACCAGTTTGCATTCCCACCAACAGTGTATGAGGGTTCCTCTTTCTCCACAACCTCTCCAACATTTGTCGTTCTTGGTTTTGGATGTTTTTGCCAATCTAACGGGGGTAAGGTGATATCTTAGTGTAGTTTTGATTTGCATTTCCCTGATGATTAGCGATGATGAACATCTTTTCATGTGTCTATTGGCCATATTCATATCTTCTTTTGAGAAATGTCTGTTCATGTCCTCTGCCCCTTTTTTGATCGGGTTGTTTGTTTTTTTGTTGTTAAGCAGTGTGAGTTCTTTGTATAGTATGGAGATTAACCCTTTGTCAGATAAGTGGCTTGTAAATATTTTTTCCCAATTAGTGAGCTGTCTTTTTGTTTCAATTCTGTTTTCCCTTGCCTTGAAGAAGCTCTTTAGTCTGATGAAGTCCCATTTGTTTATTCTTTCTATTGTTTCCCTCAACTGAGGAGTTACAGTGTCCGAAAAGATTCTTTTGAAACTGATGTCAAAGAGTGTACTGCCTATATTCTCTTCCAAAAGACTTATTGTCTCAGGCCTAATCTTTAGGTCTTTGATCCATTTTGAGTTTATTTTGGTGTGTGGTGAAAAAGAATGGTCAATTTTCAATCTTTTGCATGTGGCTGTCCAGTTTTCCCAGCACCATTTGTTGAAGAGACTTTCTTTTCTCCATTGTAGGCCCTCTGCTCCTTTGTCGAAGATTAGCTGTCCATAGATGTGTGGTTTTATCTCTGGGCTTTCAATTCTGTTCCATTGATCTGTGGACCTGTTTTTGTACCAGTACCATGCTGTTTTGATCACTGTAGCTTTGTAGTATGTTTTGAAATCGGGGATTGTGATTCCGCCGGCTTTGTTTTTCTTGCTCAGGATTGCTTTAGCAATTCGCGGTCTTTTGTTCCCCCATATGAATTTTAGGATTGTTTGTTCAATTTCTGTGAAGAATGTTCTTGGGATTCTGATTGGGATAGCATTGAATCTGTATATTGCTTTAGGTAGTATGGACATTTTAACTATGTTTATTCTTCCAATCCATGTACAAGGAATGATTTTCCATCTCTTTATGTCATCGCCTATTTCTTTCAAGAAAGTCTTGTAGTTTTCATTGTATAGATCCTTCACTTCCTTGGTTAAGTTTATCCCAAGGTATTTTATTCTTTTCGTTGCGATTGTGAATGGGATAGAGTTCTTGAGTTCTTTTTCTGTTAGTTTATTGTTAGTGTATAGAAATGCTACTGATTTATGCACGTTAATTTTATACCCTGCTACTTTGCTGTAGTTGTCGATTATTTCTAATAGCTTTTCTGTCGATTCTTTGGGGTTTTCTATGTATAAGATCATGTCGTCTGCAAACAACGAGAGTTTTACTTCTTCATTACCTATTTGGATTCCTTTTATTTCTTTTTCCTGCCGAATTGCTCTGGCCAGCACCTCCAGTACTATGTTGAATAGGAGTGGTGAAAGTGGGCACCCTTGTCTTGTTCCTGTCCTCAGAGGGATGGCTTTCAGCTTTTGTCCATTGAGTATGATCGTTGGCTGTGGGTCTATCATATATGGCCTTTATTATGTTGAGGTACTTTCCTTCTATACCCATTTTACTGAGGGTTTTTATCATAAATGGGTGTTGGATCTTGTCGAATGCTTTCTCTGCATCTATTGAGATGATCATGTGGTTTTTGTTTTTCATTTTGTTGATGTAGTGTATCACGTTGATTGACTTGTGGATGTTGAACCATCCCTGTGTCCCTGGTATAAATCCCACTTGATCATAGTGTATAATCTTTTTGATGTATTGCTGTAATCGGTTTGCCAAAATTTTGTTGAGGATTTTTACATCTATGTTCATCAGTGATATCGGCCTGTAGTTCTCCTTCTTTGTGTTGTCCTTGTCAGGTTTGGGGATCAGAGTGATGTTGGCTTCATAGAATGTGTTAGGGAGTTCTCCATCTTTCTCAATTTTCTGGAACAGTTTGAGGAGAATAGGTATTAAGTCTTCTTTGAATGTTTGGTAGAATTCTCCAGAGAAGCCGTCTGGTCCTGGACTCTTGTTTTTGGGGAGGTTTTTGATTACCGTTTCTATTTCCTTACTTGTGATTGGTCTATTCAGATTCTCCATTTCTTCCTGATTCAGTTTGGGGAGATTGTAGGAGTCTAGGAATTTGTCCATTTCTTCCAGGTTGTTCAATTTGTTGGCATATAGTTTTTCATAGTATTCTCTTATGATCTCTTGTATTTCATTGGTATCTGTTGTGATTTCTCCTCTGTCATTCCTGATTTTATTAATTTGCGATTTCTCTCTTCTTTTCTTGGTGAGTCTGGCTAGGGGTTTGTC